TGTAAAAGGAACATCCCATTTGCCTTTAGTAAATCACCTTCCTGGATTGACCAGTTTGTGGAGGAACTTGGGTGGCCTACACAGAGCTCCGACTGAGCACCTTTGGGATGAATTAAAATGCGGATCGCAAGCCAAGTCTTGTCATATAACACGAGTACCAGACCTTGCAAATGGGTACACATTCCTACTCGCAAAGCCTTTCTTGAAGAGTGGAGACCGTTCTAGACAGAGAGAGGTAGGGCAGGAGGGAACCTCCCTATTAAATAGCCATGGTTTTGAAATGGTCACAAATTCCCACTCCAAAAGCCTCCCTAGAAGAGCAGAGGCCATTATGGACACAAAGAGAGGTGGGGTAGGAGGGAACCTCCATATATTAATGGCCATGGCTTTGGAATGGGAAGTCCAATAAGCTAATTTAGGTGTGAGGGTCAGCTGCCACAAACATTTGGCCTTAGATTTGGCTGTGCTGGAAAAATTATTCAGGCTTAAGTAAGCATGCGAGATATGAGATCATAGGCTCCTTTCTGGCTGGAACAGATGCCATTGGTCTGTGAACTCTATAAAATGCCACACAAATTGTTGACATAAAATACATTTAGATGATATAGAACTGGAATCCTACTATAACTTAACCCCTTCATGACTGAGGCCCTTTTTTCAATTTTCGGCCCCTTCTTCGGGACGCAGAAGCGATCTGGCGACAGGTAAGTCGCCAGGATCGCTTCTGTTGTAAAGCCGACAGTCGGCTCTACAAGTTTAAACAGAGTCCCGGCGGCAAAAGTCGCCGGGAGTCTGTTTAAACAGCCCCGATGCTGGCGACGTACACTGTACGTCGTCAGTCACGAAGGGGTTAAAACCCCCCAAAACATGCAACATCTGAAGGCGTTCCAAAATAGAACTCCCGCATTTCTTGCTCATGTGATTGGCTCATGGGTGTTCCTGATGGTTTTTCTCTTAAAGGAGAACTATGCGGTTAAGTCTTTTCCCCATAGTTCTCCTTAGGGTAATGGGAGGACACAAGCTAGCATCCTCCCGTCACCCTAGGCTCAGCTACAGCTCGCGGTATACTGAGACGCCGCAGCTGAAGCGGATCCTGACAATTGTGCCGGGATCCGCCCAGCTGCGTGACTGACAGTTGGCTCAGCCTATCTAGAGGCAGAGCCAGCTGTACCCGCCCCCTCCACCGTCCGTTACGCCAGTCAGTGCTAGCAGATCGGAGCAGGGAGGGGGGAATCAAGCCGTGACAGGATCGAGAGGTGAGCAAACGCCGGTATGTGTTCGCTCACCTCCCGATCTACTGAGCCGACCTGTGACAGTCTCATTGTCACAGGTCGGCTAGAACTATGAGGTGAGTGAAAAGCACTCACCTCATAGTTCTCCTTTAATCCAACACTGGAACAGTTCCTGCGTTTCTAGGAAGAAGATCCTCCCGCACAGGAAATGGATTAAGTTGTAGACAAAGACCAGAATCAATGTGCACTTATCCTTTTAGTTAGTGGTTCGACGCACTCAACTGGACTTGTTAATGATATTTTCCTATTGGTCAAAGTAGCTTTCTTGGCACAAATAAGTGTTTGGAACATAAACCGACATTGATAGATTTGCAGGTAGCTGTCAATGTTGGATTTAAAGTATAACTAAAAAGGCATATATGGGATATATAGATAATGGTGAGGGGTTAAACTGCTGTCTATGTTCCTATTACAGAAATTCAAAATTTGGTATTGCCACCGGAACAGGAAGAGAGAGGAAATCGTCCAAAGGAGACAATTGTTCCAGTGACAACGGTCTAAAAGGGATTTTACCTTACACTGAAGAGATATCCCCTCACTTCCTGTGGAGTCTACAGCGCAGGAAGTGAGGGGAAATCTCCCTAGAGAAACAAAGAACAGTATTTAATTGCTCGCCTTCTACAGCAAATCACACCTTCAGCCAAGGAACCCAAAACAATTACAAGGAGATCTATGAGGTGAGTGATTTCTACTCATCCTCATAGATAGAGCTGACCTGTGACAAAGAAGCTGTCACAGGTCGGCTCTATCGATCGGGAAATGAGGAGAAACATGCACGGATCAGCTCGCTTCCCGATCGTCTGCTTGCAGTGAGCGGTGACTGTCAATCCCCCCCCCCCCCGGGATTTCCCCCCTCCCTTCTCCAATCCACCAGCGCTGAGTGGAGGCACGGACGGGGGAGGGGGCGGGTACAGCTAGCGCTGCCTCTAGATAGGCAGAGCCAGCTGTCACTCACGCAGCTGGGTGGATCTCAACAGTAATGTCATGATCCGTCCTGGATGTGGCGCTCACAGTAAATCTCAAGCAATAACCCACGATATACTGAGCTTTGGGTCACGGGAGGAGGTTAGTATATGTCCTCCCGTAACCCTAAAGAGAACTATGGGGAAAACCACTTACCCCATAGTTCTCTTTTAAAGCTGAACACTTGTGCTAAACTTCATGGCACCGTGGGATTGAAACATGAAGTTGGAACAGAGTAGCATCACAAATGTACTCC